TAGCTTCTGCCCCAGCTCAAGAGGGGCCGGGAGTACCTCACCCACCTTCTCTCTACTACCTGGGCTTTCCTCACCATGAAAACTACTGTCTGAAACAGCAAAGAAAGGGCCAGCGTTACAAACTGTTGTTTATCTAACTCACTGTGATTTTCTAAAAACTCTTCGTCTGGGTTTTGGCATAGCCATGTCAATAAACGGCTCACAGCACAGCTCCTGGTCCCTACCCACTCCAACAAAGCCAGGGGGCTCCTGAAGCCTGGAGCTCGGTGCGTTCCTCCCACAGGGAGGGCAAGAACCAGCTCAGTGACAACCACCACCTGAACAAAGCCCCGGGTCTCCCCTCCCACCCAAGAAAGCGCTCACCTCTCCTTCAGAAACAAAACAGAAGGGAAATGCATGCTCCTGAAATGCGACCTTTTTCTAAGCAACGTCATGACTCCTCAGAAGGCAGGTTTTCAGGAGAATGTAGCTGACCACAGATCTCCAGATAAATTCAGTACTTCCAAAGAAAGTTTGTAACCGATGTCCAAGACGTGTTCTTGTGAGTTTGAGATGCAGCTCAGGATCCTGACACCAAATAAAAACCGAGCGAGGTCTAACCAGCAGTCTGCTGTGCTGAAGACATCACAAGATCAGCTACTATGATTCATTCAAGAGTATATTAGAACTCTGTCTTGCTGCTTAGAAGGTGAATCATATTTTCCCCACCTTATTTGCCAAAAGTTTCTATTCTTATATTTACCTATTTTTCTCAAGTTTTTCCCTGACAAAAAGGAATCCCACTGTCCATCAGTTACATATTTCCAGCACCCATTTACAAATGCTAGTAATGAAAAAAAAATCAGGATCAAATATTATTTTTCTAATCCCATGGCACCAACCCTGACATTGACCCTAATACTATAATCAAGAAATTGTAATATTAGAACAAATCTACTTAACACCTTCAAAACTGAGCTAATTTACTCCACCTAATGAGATCAGAATCAGAGAGCAACCCGTTGAGGCAAACCCAAGAGAGTCTGGCCCCACCAGGATACTCCCCGATTTCTGAATATAAGTATTTTCCCATCAGGATCATATGGAAATTAAAGCAATTAATGTCCTTTATATTAAAAGCCATACATAACAATAATTACCTGATTAAAATTTTTGAAATTGAACTCTTTGTAGATGGCATCTCTTTCACTTAACTCGGACCAGCCTGAAGCTTTGAGATCGAGCAAAACTTGGCTCCTCTCCTCTGTCGTCAACCAGTGAGACTGCGAAGACTATTGAGGAAAAAAACCAGAAACACGACACGAGTGAGGGTGAGGTTCTCCTCTGTACAACAGAAAGAAAACCACACGATTGAATTGTGGTTAGGTATTGTACGAAGGTAAGGAGGTGGAAAATTCACTGTACAGTTTCTTGCCTTTTATAATTTCACAGACCAGCTTAACTTAAAACAGCCCAGGGACACCGTTCCCGCTGGGTCAGTTCAGCTGGGAGAAATGCTTTTGTACAAAAGCAGGGGAGAGCGGCCGGCCCTTCCGCAGGCACGAACACGGACACCAGCACACCTGCACCCGCCCCTCGTTCATCTGCACCATCTCGACGCTGTAACAACCGAATTAATTTTCAAATATTCCATTCTGTCTTATAAACAAAGGATTATTTACATGATACGCTAAATGTACAGTTACGAGGTTAAAAGGGGTATCAGGGGAATATCTACTTTAAGACAGAAGCAAAATAGGAAATCGTATTCCTAACAACTTGTATGGTGCTATTCTTAAGAAAGGAACGGATTTAAAGACAGCAGCACTGTGGAGTTCTATGAGCAACAAAAAGCTTTTTAACAAGCAATGAGAAGAAAAAAAAAATTGACAATGCAGACATAATTACAAGAAGTTACAAGTTACTCATAGAAGCACTAGATTCTGCGAAGCACCTATGTTTCAGTATGTCTTCTTCTAAGCAAAATGAGCCTTTCTGAAGCTGTGGGGAGCACAAAGGTAACAAACTGCACCCTCTGCTTCAGTATCCGAACCTGTGCCTGAGGCTCGCACGAGGCCAGAGCCAGAGGAAAGTTCTGCGGGGCGTTTGGAAAAGGTTTGCTATTTTTGCTCAAAGCAGAGACTCAGGGCACAAGCGATCACTCAGACGATATGCTCTAACAGACGGGTCTCCACCTCGTACGATCAGCAGAATGCTTTAACGGGAAGAACTTCTCTCCCTAGCACAGCGGAATCCAGACCGCTTTAGCCTTTGCATTAGCAGCTAGCACAGCTTTGTGAGAACTTCCAGCAAGGAGCTGAGCAATTTCACTCCAGAGCCTCGCCACGGCCCGGGAGGGCTGTCAGCACCCTCCACCAGCTCCGCAATTTTTCACTCCACAATTTTTCACTCGGGTTCGGGCTGGTGGCTCTGCTCCAGGGACCGGCACGAGCCCCGGTGCCACCAGATGGGGCTGCGAGCCCGAGCAGAGCGGGAATTAACGCAATTAATGGCACCCGAGCAAGGCTTGAACATGCAGGACGGCCAAAGAGCAACGTTTTCACCAATAATTATGGGACAAAATTAAAAAAATTCCAACCCCAACAGTGTGAGTCAATCTAAGAGCATCACTGCCACTGTTTGTGTTCAGTGGGATACGTGCAGCCCAAGAGACAGGGTTTACAAGGCCCAAAAGGAACTAATTCAGGCACTTTACGCTGCAAATACAACTTTGGACTTGCAAAAAGTACAAATATTGGATTTGTTGTTGCTACAACTGCAGCTGCAGGTATGATTTTCTTGCATTCTTCCTTTTCCAAGCATATACAAAAACACGCCAAGGCTAACGGCTCTTCTGAAATTGATTATTTCACCTGGAAAGAGATTAAATTAGTAGGTTAATTTACAAAATACGATGGGGGTGAGGGGGAAGAGCTAGCGAAGCCCAGGCCCGCGGCCGGGAGGCAGCACAGAGCTCACCCCCGGGGCTGGCAGCGGGGATGTCCTCTGCCAGGTCTGGGGACGCCGCAGCTCCCGGGGCCTCGGCGAGGCGACGCCG